GGGTGTCTCAGACCTGCAAAGGGACAGGTCGGGACCCGTCCACCAGCGGGTGTCTCAGACCTGCAGAGGGACCCTCCTGTTCCACCTTCTCTCCATCAGAATATTTAAGCTTTTTTGCTCTTTTATCTAATTTTAATCTGTATATTTCTATTTCCTGTTGCAGTCTGTTCTATGTTCCTATTTCTACCTGTGACCCTGTCTGCCTTCTTTTTCTACAGCCCTGCTTCAGCAATAAAGGTTCGGTTCTGATGGGTTTGGGTTGTTCTTGTTTCTGTTGATGGTTTGTTTGCTGCTGTTACCCAAACAGGAAGTGTGACGTCATAACCTGCAGCTGTTTACAGTTAAAAAAGAAAACTTTGGCGGTGACGTCACAGCCTCCCGGCGGCAGACCTGTAAGACGTCTACTCGCTGACGTCACGGTGTATAAGAGGCGGGGGAGGGGCCTCGGCGAGAGCTGCTCTGCGATTGGCTGCGTGACGTCAACGCTGCAGGGTTTAACGCAGCGCCTCCGTGTCCTTCATCATCACCTCCATCCTCATCATCCTCGGTCCGATCGATACTCGGCAGCATCTTCATCCTCTTCATCCTCAGCGTCATGTCGGGATCAAAGGAGGAGCCCCGCCGCGTGTCCGGCGACTGGCGCGAGTTCTTCTGGAACGCGCGCACGCACGAGCTACTGGGACGCACGGCCACGAGCTGGGGTAAGTGCGCGGCGCTGTGCGCGCGTGCATGTGAGATTTATTTCAGATTAAGGTGATTCATTGATCAGAGAGAGACTGATGAAGATGAAGGTGCTGCATCTTCATCAGGTGATGAAGAGGAGGGCACCTTCCTCACTGCTGCTGATAGTCTTCCTCAGCAGGAGCAGAAGTGATTGGCTGATTCAGAGGAGGAGGAGGAGAGATCCTGATCCTACTGGTCTGGTTCTGGTTCTGCTCCCTGGATCAGCTGTCCTTCATCACCTCCATCAGAACCAGGTCTGGTTCAGGTTCTACTCTCAGTTCCGACCCATCCAGAACCTCCTGGATCAGCTGTCCTTCATCACCTCCATCAGAACCAGGTCTGGTTCAGGTTCTGCTCTCAGTTCTGACCCATCCAGAACCTCCTGGATCAGCTGTCCTTCATCACCTCCATCAGAACCAGGTCTGGTTCAGGTTCTACTCTCAGTTTTGACCCATCCAGAACCTCCTGGATCAGCTGTCCTTCATCACCTCCATCAGAACCAGGTCTGGTTCAGGTTCTACTCTCAGTTTTGACC